AGGTACACTGGGGATGATTAACCAATATCATCATAGTGTGTCTCCTCCTGCTAAGATTTACCGCGTAGTTAACTTCTTACAGGGTAACTTCAAATGCAGTTCGCGCTGAGCTGTGTCCACGTGCAGCAACCCAACCTCTCTTTTTGGTGCAGGACTGAGGGTTGGGGAATGAGGGAAGGGTGACCTGGGGCATCAGGTGCTTGCAGAATCCGCTCTGGGGGAGAAGCCGTGATACACTCACATCTCAGAAGTCCTTGGCAAGGTCTGCGCCCCCACAAAGGACCTGGGAGGGGGACGGCCTCAGCCCAGGATGACTTCATTGTGGAGACAGAAACTAATTCCTCTCTAAGTGGGAAAAGGCTCTTTAGCTACATTAAGAGGCTGAAATCTGATGAAAAGGCAAATAGATTCAATCTTCCTTGCACCAGTTGCCTGGGACTTCATAAGACTCAAACCGATTAGAAAAATTCACATTGAAAGCATCGTTTATAATAGACCAAAATCATAGAAAACATTTGGCTTGGAGGGAGGGAGGAGGAAGAGCATTTCCACCTAAGCCATAATCTTTCATTACCTCCCCCTGCCTCCTTTATGGGGTCTGACAGCCCTGTCTCTTCCCCAGGACTAATCATTAGACTAATTAGTGGCTAATCAATGTTTAATTAAAGCCTAGCCATTAATTACAGGAAGTGCCATGGTAACTTGAGAATAAACTGGTTGCAAGTGGGATCAGATTTCTGTAAGCATGGCTGGTCACACAGGCAGGAAACTTTCCTTCTGGCCTTTGTCGGTGCTTCTTTGCACTTTGGTTTGGGTGGATCTGGAAGTCTGGAGAAGGGAGAAGAGAAGGAGTAGGGAGCAGCATGGGTTGATCTGAGCATTTTGGCTTCCAGCCCATTACCCACCCACTCCACCGGACCTTTCCCCATGGTTCTGGCATCTCTCTTCCCACGTCTCGAATTTAATCTATTTTTCTCTGAAAATCCCTTATTGGGCATCAACATACTTGCATTTAGGCTAACACTCAAACCTATTACCATAAACTGCAAGGTCCTAGATCGGTGGTTCTCAACCCTGGCTGCATGTTAGAGTCACCAAGAGAGGTTAAAAAAAAAAAAATAGAATAGAAGGTTAGACAAACAGACCAATGAACAGAGTAGAGAACCCAGAAACAGACCCAGCATATATGGGTAAACAACATATGATATGAGGCAAAGGTGGCCCTTTCAAGAAGGTGGCATGGATGATCTTTGCTATCAATGGTGCTGGGTCAGTTGGATAGCCACCTAAAAAAAACCAGGAAGTTTGACCCCTACCTCACACCATACATGGAGGTCAATTCTACCTTCTAGAAGATAATATAGAAGACTATCTGGAATATTTTCATGATAATGAAGAGCACTAACCATAAAGGAAAAATGGACAAATGAGGTTATATTAAAACGAAGGGCTCCTGTTCACCGAAAGTCACCATTAAGAGAGTGGAAAGGTAGGCACAACACAGGAGATGTTTCTGGAGATATGACTTGCGAAGGGGCTCACAGGAAAATGGGTAGGAGACTTGAACAAGTACTTCACAAAGTGTCCTATTAGCCGTCAGAGAAATGCAAACGGAGATACTGCTCTAACCCAGTAGGATGAGTAGACTGGTGATCCCAAGGGCTGGTAAAGATAGAGGACCACGGAACATTCATACTTTGGAAAACCGTTTAGCAGAATCTCCTGAAGCTGTGCATATGCTGGCCCCGGGGCCCTGCTGCCCACTCCTAGACATCCTCTGAGGAACATACACGCACCTGTGCACCAAGGCACATGCTCTAGAGAGTGAGCACAGCACCATCGTTTTAATAGCTCCAAATGGGTTGCAACCCAAAAGTCTTTCAACAGGAGTAGGGCCAAATAAAACTGGTGAATTCATACGGGGGATACACAACAGCACCTCTACACTCAATGAACCTCACAGAAATAATGTAGCATGAAAGGACCCAGGCACAAAATTGGATGTCAACTGTATTATCCCGTTCATACAGAGTTTAGGAACAGGCAAGATCATGGCGGTAATTATCTTTAGGGAGGAGGAAGGGGGAGTCACTGGGGAAGGAGGGGGCTTTCTGGGGGTCTGTGATGTTCTACTTTTTGATCTCAGTGATGTGTGCATGGATGGTCCACTTTGTGACTAATCATTGAGCACACACTTATGATTTGTGCACTTTGGGGCATATGTGTTATTTTCTTAAAGAGAAATATGAATTGAGGCCTGGCTCTGGGCCAGAATAGTTAGGTCAGAGTCCCTGGGAGAGGGTTCAGGTGACTCTGACATGGACTGGGGCTGCCCACCTGACCTGGCTTACATGGCCAACCTCTTGTCTCCCCCTCTCCCTTGCCTGCTCCTGCCCAGCTCCTTTCTGTCCCTTGAACATGCCTCTTGTTTTTGGGCACCAACTGTTTGCACTTGCCTGTGTGTTCCCTGGGACTGGAAGGCTGTCTCCTGCCTGGCTCCCTCAAGTCACGCCCTACAGTGACCTTCCCTGACCCGTCCATCTAAAATGGGCCGCTTGTCCCAGACACTTTCTGTTCTATCATTCTGTTTATTTCCTTTACTCTTCTTGCAGTAGAGACAAGTCAACAAATTCCATTTCATTTGCGTCTTCCTGGATTTCAAAGAAGACTGTGTTTTTCAACCTCCATTGCAGTCAGGTTGGAGCTGGTAGTTTGTGGATGGAGGTGACACACGCCACATCCAGACCTTGCCACAGAACCTCTTGTGGGACCGTCCACAACCCCTATTCCTCTTCCACAGTGACCAAGGTGACCACCTGTGTAAGACGGAAGAGCCCAGGACGTAAGGAGCCTGGAGCCTGGAGTCACCAATAGGAGGAGAGCTGCCAAGTGGGGCTGCTGAGCCACGCTGATCGTAGGTGAGAAATGACCTTTCCACAACGCACTGAGCTTTCAGGCTTTGTTTGGGCCTGCGTGAGGGTAGACTATCCTGACTCATGCAGCACTTACTGCGATCTGAGATTACCTTGTTGGATTTCTGTCTCTTTGTCTAGAATGTGAGCTCCTGTTTACAGCTGTATTTCCAGCCCACGGGCACAGGCCCAGCGTGCAGAAGCCCAGCAGCATTCCATGCAGGCGATAAATGATTCAGTGCTGAGAGGACTCTGGAGACAGAGATGATGTTCTCAGGGTGGGAGCGGGGAAGTCTGCAGGAGAGAGCGTGGGTCTTGGGTTCCCTTTCTGAGCAGTAGTCTCTCCATCTGTAATAGCACACAGGCTTGTTGGAAGGACTGCATGCAATTATCGCTTATGAACACCTAGCATGTTGCAGGGTGGAGAGGTGGCCTGTAATACTCCCTAGGGTTGCAGATGCAGACGGGCAGACAGGGCAATCGAAGGCTCGAGTCAAGAATGGTCGGCCAGCACCTGCATTCGGTGGTGGAGGGGGACGCGCTTTCAGATGGGAGTGGGGTAGAGGTAGGCTTATCGCCGGGTGGGCTCGGGGAGGGGTGCTCAGGGCACTCTGCACCCGTCCTGGGTGGTGGGAGGCACCTCCAGGTGCAGAGGGTGACACGATGTTCCCCATTCAGGGAGGCAAGCTGGCCTTGGACGCACCTGGAAATCCCAGCAGGGCAGCCCTTGCACCCTTGGGTCCTCTGTCTGTCTCCTCTTTCACCTTCTGCTGCTTGTGCCCCTGAAGCTCCACTGTTCTCTGCCTGTCACCTGGTCCAGTCTCACCTGTCTGCAGATTCACCCCGGTTACGCTGCTGAATTTCCTTTCCTGGGACCTCTGCATGTTTAGAGATGACTGCTGGAGATCAGAGAGTCTTCACACGGAATGAAAGACCAAGTGGTGATGAGGGGTGTGCTTGGGGTTTTGCCAATGGCTTTCGTACACAGTGCTGGACAGGCCTGGGAGGGGCGGGAGGCTGGGCTCTACCTGTCCAGGTATAAACAGGGTGAAGAGTGGGCCATGGAGAGCCCCAGTCCAGGGGACTCCAACCCTTTTGTACCAAGGAGCCCTATGGCATCTGGGGAAGCCAACGGACCCCTTCTCAGCAAAGTAGTCTTAAATCCATAAAAGAGATTTCCTAGGGTTATAGTATCAAAATATAATTATCAAAATGTTTAAGAAATGAGACATCGTTGTATATGCTTTTTTGTTGAAGAGGAGTTCTTGTAACATAAAATGAACCTTTTAAAGTGTCCAACTCAGTGGCATTTAGTGTCTTAGCCGTACCACGCAGGCACCACCCCTGCCCACTTCCACCGCCTCTGCCCGAACCTGTCAAGCAGGTCCTCCCCAGTCCCCTCCTGTCCTGGTAACCTCCAGTCTTTCTCCACAGACTCGCCTATTCCGAATATCTTATAAAAATGTGGTCTTTTGTGACTGAGCATAATGCTTTCCAGGTTCATCCATGTGGTGACAGGTGTCAGACCTTCATTCTTATGTCTGAATATATTCCATTGCACGGATACCATACTTCATCTATTCATCGCCTGATAGGCATTTTGGTTGTTTCTACTTTTTGGCTTTTGAAGGTGCTCCTTTTGAACAAATTACTTAACTCGATGTAGTGGCAGGTCTAAGAAGCACCTAAATCCAGAAATAATGACCAGGGCAGTTGATATTTTGCGATGTATGCACCATCTGGCACGTGCCATGGACATGCCTGTGTATCTGTGGCAGAGACAGCCGGGTGGGGGCTGGTGTCCGTGATTGAGAAATTGTCAGAGAGAGGGGTGTGTGGAAGGAATGAACTGTTTTCCCATTCAGGTTCCCAGACCTTCTGGATTCTCCCCAGATTTGGGACCCCTGGTCTTGCCAATGCACCCGTTCTTGTGAGAGGCAAATGGAGCCCTGAGTGGTTATGGCTTTGCCCTGCACGGTTGGGACCCGGACCAGGGCCTGGCCTGCAGGTTTGCTGGCTTCTCCAGCTCAGCAAGACCTGGCCGGGGTGACTCGGGTGGCCCCTATCTGTTCTTTAGCACGTCCGTACCTTCCTGGGCCAGTGAAGGTCAGCGCGGCAGGGATGTGCCCCTGCTGCCTCCCAGCCTCCCCGCTGCCAGACTTGCCCCCCGCACCCCCGCCAGCCCCCTCCTCCAGGTTCTCTCGTTTCTCCTGCTCCTCGGGGGAAATGAAGTCGTGAGGGCAGCCGTGGGTCACCCAGCACTGTCCTTTCTTGCTTTGCCTCAGTGCTTTTTCAAAAGCCGCCGCTATGGGGTGAGAAAAAGCGAGACTGTGTTCTTCCCCATGAACGAAGCCCTGACGACATCCTGCTCATGGATGGACCTGGAAACGCGCCCCAAGAAAGAAATCAGACACAACAGGACCCGTGAGGTGCGACGGCACCTGTGTGAGATGTCCAGGACAGGTGCGTGCGGTCAGACCGCAGAGCACCGGTAGGTGGCCGGGGGCCGGGGAAGCGGGGAGGGACCGACTGCTCACTGGGCCGGGGCTCCCTCTGGGGTGCCGAGAATGTTCTGGAGTGAGATAGAGGTGGTGTCTGCACAGCACTGTGGAGCCACCGAGTTGTACACTTTAAAATGGTTCGTTTATGTTAAGTGGATTTCACCCAAATTAAAACAAATAAAACAACACCTTAGTCCGGCATTTTCCCCCTGGGCTGCTGGGAGATGTGACTTGAATACAGTCCGGTGACTACTGTTAAAAGCCCACTGACCCCTGGTTGGCTGCCCCGAGGTGACCTCCCTGCTCCCAGCTGGATCTGGGGCCCTGCAGGTGCTGGGGACAGGTCTGTCTACTTCCAGTTTTCATCCTGAGGCCGCGAGCTGGGCTGAGACTGACGCAGGGCGCCCTCCCCCCACTTTCCTGACCCTCGGCGCCTCTCGAGGTGCTACCGTGGGTTTCCAGCTCGGCCCCCTGCACCCCGTCTCCTTATGCCCCTGGCAGGAATCTGTGGGCTGTTGAGTGGCTAAGGTTGCCATGTGCGCAGCCATTCGGGAAGGACCTGAGTGGCCGAGTGGCTGACGTTAGAGATAGGTGGGGATGGGGGTCCAGGGTGTGTGTGTGTGTCTAGGTGTCTGAGCTCCGTACCTGGGCTGCCCTCGAGGGGCACCTGCAACCCAGAGCAGCAATGGTCAAGGGGTGCAAGCAGCGTAGGTGTGGTGGGGCACAGGCTGAGAGAGGGAGATAGAGGGAGGGAGGGAGGGAGAGATGGATGGATGGATGGAGGAAGGAGGGAGGGAGGGAGAGAGCAGGTGTACCGCTGCACATGCGTAAATCAGGAACTAGCGAACAGAGACTCTGAACTCCCTTCTAAGACTTCCTCTGTCTTTCTTTTATGAGAACTGTGAGTCCTTCCTTTTTGTAGTAGTGAATTCTCAGCTTAAGAAAAACCTATGAGCAAAGTAAGTCCCTCCCTTGTGCTGCCTGTGTTGGGGCCACTAAACCTAGGGGTCTTTTCTGTTATTTTTACAGAAGAACAAAATGTTCTCGCCCTTTGACCCCTCCTCTGACTTGTGAGCTCGTGTGGTCTTGAGGAACTCCATCCAGAAGACGTCACCTGTGTCCTGAGACCGACCAGGCGCCCCACTGAGATTAGCCCCTCGCTGTCCTGCTGATGCGCTGACCCAAGAGCCCTTGAACCTTCTTTGAAACACCCAGGGAAGCAGCCATACTAACTGCTCAGCAGGCTTGGGATGCTCATTATGACCCCTTGTGTTCTTCCTTATGGTGCAAAGCTGGTTTTTATGGTGACCTCAGTGTTTTCCACGACAGAATAATGTCGGTCCTCGGTGTCCAGGCCTGTACTTGGTGGGCTTCTAGAATCTAGCCCGGGTTGGTATGTGTGGCTGGAACACTGAGGATGCACCAAGAGTATGTGGGGTGGGGGTGGGAGGTACTTGGAGGTTTAAAGACCCTGCTATGGTCTCCCCATGAGCTCACAGAACAGGCCACTGAGAATCAGGTCAGAAGAGGTTTCCAAACAGTATCGAGGTTCCTCAAACAGTTGAAAATAGAGCTACCATACGATCCAGCAATTGCACTACTGGGTATTTACCCCAAAGATACAAATGTAGGGATCCGAAGGGGTACGTGCACCCCAATGTTTATAGCAGCAATGTCCACAATAGCCAAACTGTGGAAAGAGCCAAGATGTCCATCGACAGATGAATGGATAGAGAAGATGTGGTATATATACACAATGGAATATTATGCAGCCATCAAAGGGAATGAGATCTTGCCATTTGCAACGACGTGGATGGAACTGGAGGGTGTTATGCTGAGTGAAATAAGTCAATCAGAGAAAGACACATATCATATGACCTCACTGATATGAGGAATTCTTAATTTCAGGAAACAAACTGAGGGTTGCTGGAGTGGTAGGGGGGTGGAGGGATGGGGTGGCTGGGTGATAGACATCGGGAAGGGTATGTGCTCTGGTGAGCACTGTGAATTGTGCAAGACTGTTGAATCACAGATCTGTACTTCTGAAACAAATAATGCAATACATGTTAAGAAAAAAGAAAAAGAAGAAGATAGCAGGAGGGGAAGAATGAAGGGGAGTAAGTCAGATGGGGAGATGAACCATGAGAGACGATGGACTCTGAGAAACAAACTGAGGGTTCTAGAGGGGAGGGGGGTGGAGGGATGGGTTAGCCTGGTGATGGGTATTAAAGAGGGCACATTCTGTGTGGAGCACTGGGTGTTATGCACAAACAATGAATCATGGAACACTACATCAAAAACTAATGATGTAGGGGCGCCTGGGTGGCTCAGTTGGTTAAGTGACTGCCTTCAGCTCAGGTCGTGATCCTGGAGTCCCGGGATCGAGTCCCACATCGGGCTCCCTGCTCAGCAGGGAGTCTGCTTCTCCCTCTGACCCAACCCCCTCTAATGCTCTCTCTCTCTCTCTCTCTCATTCTCTCTCTCTCACATAAATAAATAAAGTCTTAAAAAAAAACAACTAATGATGTAATATATGGTGATTAACATAACAATAAAAAATTTAAAAAAAAAAGAAGAGGTTTCCAGTGCTCTGTGCATGCTCTCCCGCCCCCCCCCCCCCGTCTTCCTCCTCTCCCCATATAAACCATCCCTCCACCTCCTTCAGCACCTGCCGCCAACAAGGCACCATTCAGGAGCGTGTTTCCAGATCTACTCGCTTGCTCCGTGCCACGACGTGCACGAATCTGTGGGAGGGGGGACAGGTTTGTCTGGACAAAGTGGAGCTCTCCAGGATGGAGAAGGACGTGAGGCCATTCAAAATCAAGAAACCCATTAGCTGTGTCTTCACAGAGGCCAGGAAGCTGAACCTCAGCCCGGGGAGCTGTCCTGCTGCCATGTCCAGTGTCCTGAGCACATCACCATGTTGTTGCGTGCAGACCATGCTTTTCTCGGAGGCTCATTTTTCAAGCATCCCCGGCCCTTGGACGGAAGGGGTTGTCATCAGATTGGAACGGTGCCTTGATTCTTGTTTTCCACTGGTGTTCCCACTAATGAAGGGCAGCTGCAGGAGAAAAGCATCCTGGGGGCCTAGACATGGTGGGAGTGGAGCTCCGTGCTGAAGACGCCGGACGAGGTACCACATCACTTGCTCCTTCCCATCTGAACATGTGGTCACCTGTATTTTCTAACTGCTAGCTACGTGCACCAAGAAGCAGAGGCGTCGGGAGGCCAGCCAGCAGCTGTGAGCCCGTGAATTTCCAGTCGGACCCAACTCCTTAAGAGCAAAAGGAGCGGGGCTTGGGCGCCCCTGGCAACCGTGGTTCTTCATCTTGGTGTCTCTCTCCAGTCTGTCGGCACCAGCCCTGGCGCTGCTTCTGTGGGGCCCCCTCCCACGTCTCCCTTCCTTGCCCTTTCTCTTCCACACCCCTCACCCTGTTTGCCTTACTTCCTGCACCCTAGTTTCCAGGTACTCCTTGTCTTCTACTTGGACCATTGCTGAGGCCTCCGTTGCCCCCCACCCCCGAAATTCCAAGCCTGTATATCTCATTGTTGTCACAGAAGTCTTTCAGAAGCAGAGCTACTTCTATGGCATGCCACTGCTCAAGAACATACAGTGGCTCCCTGTTACCTAACATAAAAGAAGTCCAGACTCCTTGGCATGGCCTTGGACCCCCTCTGATTAGGCCCTGAGTTGACTTTATGGACGTGGCCTGCCTCATTTCCCACCCTAACCCCACTCCCCATTCCCACAACTCCTGGCTGGAGTTAAACAGGATGGCCTGCTTACACCTCCCATCTGTGTCCACCCCGCATGGGCTTTGTGCTGGAGAGTTCTGTGTAGGAGACGACATCCCAGTGATCTTCCAGTCCACACTACCTACCCTCCCCTTCCCCTGAACTCTGAGTGTTTACAGGCTGGGTCACTCTGCATCGAAATTCATTGATTCAACAAACGCTGTCCATTGACACGATGCTTTGGTTCAGCCTCTCCTGAACCTTTCTGGACAAACGCCCGCCACACATTCTCAGTCCTATGGTGTTTTCAGCTCCTTGTTGCTAGGTGTCACAAAGAGGCTACTGTACCACTTTCCAAGTCCCACCCTATAAGCACCTAGGATTTTCTTTCTTTCTTTCTTTCTTTCTTTCTTTCTTTCTTTCTTTCTTTCTTTCTTTCTTTCTTTCTTTC